TTTCTTTATTAAAGGAACATGAAAAACAGAGTAGGCTGCAAATGATGGAATTTTATTTGGCTCTGCAAGGCATTTTATAAATAGGACAGCAGCTGTTTACATGTTTGCCATGATTGCCCCATGCATATCCAAATGCCTCTCTCTATTGCTTCAGGCAGAAGCCCACATTGGACTCTACTGTCCTTTTGAATGTTTGCCATTCTCATTTTGTTTGTAGTCCTTTGGGTGGTATTAGTTACCTGATGAAGGGAGAGTCATCAATTTGGACTTCCAAGCGTTTCCAAGTGGAGACTGTCATCTGCTTCTCATCCGTGCTGTTAGGCCACCAGTTTAAGGCCTGTGACACAATGGACACAGCAACTGTCCCTCCTGTATTTTCAAATAAAGTATTTGAAGGGAAAGATATTTGCAGAATGTGCTGTAGTGGTAAATTTAGAGAGTACAAGATAATTACTTGTAATTATGGCAATTTCTGTAAGGGAAATCATCTTAATTTGTTCTTACTAAGAAATAGAATTGCTATACTCATAGCATTTGAATCTTTTTAGGAGATTAATGCTGTGTGCCTTCATTACTTTGAATGGACATTACAGCTTTTCAGTGCATCTGAAATTACCCCGTTAATTCACTCTTCTATTTGAATTTCTGTTAAGTGCAGTTTTCACTTACCAAAAAAAAAAAAATCCTAGCCAGAGAGAGCCCTTGGTAGAGAGGAACTTACCCACCCATACTAAGTAAACCTCTTAGGAGAATAAACCCACTCAAAAGTCGATCTGAATGGTGGAGTCGTACACACACATTCTCTTGTCATGCTCTTCCCTGGAGATTTGAAAAATCTAGATGACCTTTAGGCTGATATGGAATTGCTGTGGCTTGAAAGAAAGGCTGTGTCTCTAGGCATTTTTGTGAAGACAGAATCCTGACTGCTTTTTTGTTTTTAAGTATTTAATTATACCATCTGGGAAAGGTAACCCGTCGGTAGGTTGAGACAGAAAATTGGAGTGGGAAGAATGGGTTTACAGTAGAATGAAATTAATTGGAAAGAATAGCGAGAAAAAAATGATGTGCATCTGTCTAGGCAGGTGACAGAGGTGCTAAGGATGGAAAAGTTAACTCATTGTTGGCCTACAGTGGTCTCTAGAATCAAATCACTGCCACTTTCCTGACCTGCTCAGCCTGCCTCTCCCTCCTCTCAATTCAGTTCCACACCCTAGCAACCCAAATCAGATAGGGTAAAGTCATATTGCCTTTGTGCCTCCAAAGTTGTCATCGTCAAGGAACTGTTGGGTTGCTAACAGTATGGTCAGCAGTTTAAAACCACTAGCTACCCTGTGGGAGAAAGATGAGGTTTTCTATTCCTGTAAAAATGTTGAGCCCCCCAGATCTACTCTGTTCTATAAGGTGGCCATGAATCAGAATTTACTCAATGGTAGTGAATTTTCTCTCTCTCCATCATTCCAAAATCATACTGCCACGGAGCCCTGTGTAGGTTTGAATCAACCTTTCAGTTAGAAGAAAAGCCCTTAGTTATTAGCCACTGGGGCTTTTGTCATAGCTGCTGGGTGGTTTTAAAAAATCTTTCAACAACAACAAAAATTTGTTTTTTTCCTTTAGCACCCAATCTTCCTATCATCCAGGAATTCTTTTCCTCTACAGTGAGTCAAGGCTTGTTCCTGAGTGTTAGTACTTGTCCCTCCCTATGTCAACTATAGTGCTTTGCATTATGAAGACATCTGAGACCTGGTGGGAGGCAGGTAGCCCTGGCCATCTCTGCCCCGAAGCGGCCAGAGCCTAGGCTCCAACTAGGATTTCACCGAGCCAGTGTGGCCCAGAGCAGAGCACTGCCCTGTGGTTTTTGAAGTGCCTATCTTTAAAGGACGGTCGAACCTTACAGTCAAACGTTGATTGGATAATCACTTTAGTGGAAATTTATTGAGGCCCTACTGTGTGCCGGGTGTACCTAATGAGGAGGAGACAGTGGGCTACACTTAATAGTGATGCTGTAATTCATTTCACCCTTGTGAATGCTTGTCAACCACTGAATTGGAGAATCCCAGTGAACTGATGGATGACAAACAACCTTTTACAGTCTATGAAGTGTAAGATCTTACGGATGCAGAGTCAGATCTACTGTTCTCCCTATTTTCAGAGGACCTTATGATTTAGAAAGGAAGTCAGACGACTTCAAATTCAGGCTAACAATGGCATCTCCCACAGGGTGCCATGGAAACAATGGAATACAGGAGAAACATGCAGGCAGAGGTGATGTTAGCTGAGCATTGATCCTCCTGCAGATGGCATCTAGGTTAATAGCCACCAGTGTTACCGGGACTTTCTCACCAATTTTCCTTTACTTTCACTAGTGTGATTTTCAAAAGCAGCAGAGGTAAACCCGTTTAAAGGGTTTTATCATCTCCATTTCATTTCTATTTCTGGCATGCTGTTCATAGCTTTCCTTCCTCTTAAGTACCTTAGGGAGATACATGTTCATTCCCTACCTGCTAACCTCTCATTAAATTTGTTTCCACAGCTGGACTCTTAATAAAAACGAGTGCTACCTCTAGTTTTTTGTTTTCCTATAGCCTGATATCCTCTCCTCCCACCCCCCAATATGTAATGTACAGACTTTTTGAATGTATTATGCTGATTGCATTTCTAAAGGCATATGTAATTAAATAAAGAACAAAATTTTCTATAGTTCAATAAGTTCCCAAGAAGTATATGTATTGTCCAAATTCACTGGGCAGATATGAAGGTTCTGAAAGATTCTACAATTAAAAAAGGGTGGAAGGGAGGGAGGAAATGAGACCTTTTTTAAAAAAACCTTTATTCAACCCAATATTTGCCAAATATGACTGAATCCCTTTAATGAATAATATCAAAATATATATATTTGGGGAACTGTTTTCTTAACACATCTTTATTTGGGGATGTAATGTAAGGATTCACACCTATAATTAATATAGATATTTTTTCTTTATGATTGAAATTAATTAGAAGGCTATAACAGAAAAGGAGAGAAGATAAGGAAATAAAATGAGAAGAGATATAGGAAGAAAGACATGAGAAAAAATATTGGCAGTAACAGAAAGGTAAAAACACCAATGATAAAAAGGAAGACCCTCATCAAGAAAGATTGACACAGTGGCTGAAACAGTGTGCTCACCCATAGCAACAACTCTGAGGATGGTCCCGGAGCAGGCAGCTTGTTTCTGTTGTCCATGGGAGCCCCGTGAGTCAGAGCACCGAACAGCAACAGCTTTGTAAAGTACAAAATGTTATTAAAATGTGGCATAAAAATCTACTTATCATGATCTCATATTTCCCTGAGATAAGAGAACATTGCCAAGAACCAAAGTATTTTCCTCACACTTATTTTTTTACAATGCTTCAAACATTTCACTACTGTTTTTCCTGAAAAATTTTATCTATGGGTTTCCCTTTATGATTTAAGGACCTAACATTTAAACAATATAAAGTTAGATAAGAAGGCATAGTTCCCTTGGTAAATTCCACAGTTGGTACATTCTCTTCCTGACTGTTGAATGGTAGATAAGTCTGATGCTGCCTGTGATGGCGTATGTGGGTTCGACTAGAACACCTGTAGGTCTCAAAGGAAAGTATGGAGTTGTGTTTGGTTATTTCTTTGTCATGGGATGCCATTATTCTTTTGGATCACAAGTGGGGAGAAACAGTCATTTTTAAGTTTAATTGGAGGAGAGGTTAGGAAGAACCATAAGTTTGTGAACTCCAAGAATTTAGCGTAGATAAGAACAGGGATCGAATGGAAGGGAAGCATTACATCTTGTGTTGGCACTCTTTCATGTGCAACCACCAGTGATGTTCTTTGACATCAAAGCAGTTTGAGTAAAGCATTGGAAAGTCAGAAACTTGGGGTGTTATGGAGAGCCATTGAGGCTCTATGTAGCTCTTATGAACCTTCAAAAAGTTTGTGTAAAAATGGAATTAAAAGACAATGAATTTTTTACATGAAAGGTTTGAAGCCCTCTTATATTTTAGGAATTAGAGTGGCCTGGTGCACCTCTGGGGGAAAACCAGCTAGCTATATTTGTATAAAAGTAGATTTAAGCAGTTGTAAGCCAAGCTTAAAAAAAATTCTCTGCTTTCTTTTGTTAACCTTGGCGTTTCAAGCCTTTTTGGAAATGTCTTCAGCTGTACTCAAGGCCAGGTTTTACTGTTTTCTTTTACTCCCACCTGGCTGGGGCATTCCTTGAGCAAACATGGAACTGATTACACAACAACAATTTGTATATATACACTTCACTGGCATTGATCATACTCTGTGAGCTGTGCAATGGTTCCCTCCTTCCTTCTCTGAGTTGTTCTCCCACAGTAACATAAACTCACTGCCCCTAAGGCTCCGATCACATAGTTCACGTTGCAGTTGTCAATTTGATCTCATAAAGGAGTATAATGCTCAAGGTAGACCTTTTTTACTAGTTTAACCACTGTTTGGTTTTTAGATGACTTTGGGGAATGTATTTGGTTTAAGATTTAAAGATTATATCAGGGCAATAGTTTCAGGTACTCATCCAACTCTGGTGGCTCCAGAAAGTCTGTCATCCATCAGAATTTGAAATTCTGTTCTATATATTTCCCCTTTTGATCAAGATTCCTCTGTAGAATCTTTGACAAAAATGTTCAGTAATGATAGGTGGCACTGTCCAATTCTTCTAGTGTCATGAAAAAGGAGACAGTTTTTCTTGGAGGCAATGAGCCATCCAGTCCATATCCTCCTCCTGTGCCTGACTTTTCCTTTTGCTGTGTTGCTTCAGGTGAGTAGAGCAAATGTTATGCCTTGGGTGACCTCTTAAAAGTTTTTAAGACCCAGGGAAGTGAGACTGGCTTTTGGGCCCAGCAGTGGTACCCCGGCGCCGAGGCGTTTAGTTCACCGTCCTTGCCAGGCGCCCCCAGGCGGCCTTGGTTCATTGACGCCGGAGCGTGCGTGCGTGCGTGCATCCTCGGGTCAGGAGAGGGCCATGGAGGATCCCCGGAAGGTGCCTCCGAGCTGCCTCCGCAGGGCACTAGGTCCTTTCCCCAGAGTCTTTGCTGCTGAAGCAGTGGCCGCCGAGTTCCAGACCCCTGCTGAGCGACCGAAGCTGCCTCCCTCCATCCCAGAATCCCATTACCCGGAATCCGGATGGGATCTCCTCCGAGAGCTGTTTATTAAAGATGACCAGCAGAGAACATCTGAAGAACTTCAGAATATTTGTAAGGCAGCAGTTTCAGCAGGCATCATTGGCTTTGTCTATGGAGGAGTACCTGCCTTTGTACATGCCAAACAATGCTACGTTGAGCAGAGCCAAGCAGACATCTATCATAACCGATTTGATGCTGTGCAAGCTGCCCACTGTGCTGCCACTCGGGCCTTCATTCGGTATGGCTGGCGCTGGCGCTGGAGAACTGCGGCGTTTATGACCACATTCAACTCAGTGACCACTGGTCTGAATGTGTACCGAAATAAAAATGCCCTCAGTCATTTTGTCATTGCTGGAGCTGTCACAGGAAGTCTTTTCAGAATAAACTTAGGCCTGCGTGGTCTGATGGCTGGTGGTATAATTGGAGCCTTGCTGGGTACCCCTATTAGGAGCCTGTTGATGCTGCTGCAGAGGTACTGTGGAGAGACTGTTCAACAGAGGAAAGAGAAGGATCATAAGGTACTCCATGAGCGGCAACTGGAAGAATGGAAGGCCAAGCTTCAAATTACTGAGTTCCTCCCAGAAGAGATTGCAAGTGGTTTACAACAAAATCAATCTGAAGATGATGCTAGGAAAATTGAAGCCCCGCTAAGCCTTCTTAGAAACCCTTCGACAACAGATAAACAAGACAAGGACTGAAAGTGTTCTGGACTGGAATGTCATTAGAGAACGGAAGGGGACCGTGTTCTCATGTCTGTTGAAGGCCAATGGTCAGGCTACTGTTTGGTCTGCCTGTGGGGCATGACCCTATCCCAAAGCACTGGCACTTGTAATGGCAGTGATTTGCCCTTAAAAACAAAACCAAACCAAACAAGATTTGAGCTACTGTATGTTCATTTGACTTAAAATACATATTTTTGTCTAACAAGGGGATACATATTATACAGGTGTGCATTGCTTAATGTCCACAATAAATTCTATAATGACGGAAAAAATGTTTTTAAGACCCTTAGGCAATATGTACTGACCTAGGGGGAAAGCACTAGACACATTATTAGGCCAATCAACTTGAATATCATATTAAACCATGACCCTAGACTTCCAATGAAGGAATCAAATCCCTGTCCCCCCACCCCCCACTGAAAAAAGGAATCAAATCCCATGAGGTGTCTGGTTGTACATGAGCAGACTGGGCAGCTGCTCTTGGGGAGAAAGGGGTCAGGAAGTGCTTTATTGTAAGCATATCTATCACTCAACTTTAGCCAACTCAACTTTGTACAGGTGTGCAACTTAGTGACAACAAAATAATCAGCTGTGCAGTCCTACCCTTGATAAAGTTTTCCATCACCGTTCTCCTCCCCCACCCCTTCCTGCCTGCTCCTGTATGGTCTGTGTGCATTTGCTTGTTCTTGTCTTTTTAGGTAAGGTCATAAATGTTTTTTGTCCTTTTGGCTTATCTAGTTCAGTGTAATGTCTTCAAGCCCCATACAGACTGTAGCATGTATCAAGACTTTATTTCTTCTTCTAGATGAGGAATAGTCCGTTGTATGCATGTGCCACATTTTGTTTATCTTTCACCTCTTGAGAAGCATATCGTTTGTTGCTAGTTTTTGGCTATTGCGAATAATTCCGCAATGAATATTGGTGTGCAAGTCTCTCTCAGTCTTGTGGGCACATACCTAAGAGTGGACTTGCTGGATAATACAGTACTATTTTTGGCTTTTTGAGGAACTGCCAACCCGACTGTACATTTTACATTTTACGATGTCAGTACCATTTTACATTCCCACCAGCAATGGATAAGAGTTCCAATTTCCTTACATCCTGGCCAATATTTAAATGTTTATGCTCTTTGTATTTTAGCCGTCCTAGTGGGAGTGAAATGTTATAGTATTTATCTCTGTGGATTTAACTCTGTGTTCCTCCCAGTGCCTTCCTCTGTCCTGATCATTTTGTACTGATCTCCTTTTCATTGTATGAGGGGGCTTCAAAACGTTTGTGGACAAATGGGGTTAAAAGATAGGGAATTTTCCTATGAACTTTTTGGAGCCCTAGTGGTTACACGTTGGGCTGCTAACTGCAAGGTCAGCAGTTAGAACCCACCAGCAGCTCCTTGGTAGAAAGATGAGGCTGTCTGCTCCCATTAAGATGTACAGCTTCGGAAACATATAGGGACAGGTCTACCCCATCTTATAGGGTTGTTTTGAGTTGGAATTAGCTTCATGGCAGTGAGTTTAGTGAATCAACAAGTTAAGATGTATCTACCTTTTAGTTAGTTATTGACTCTATCTTCTCTCACACCAGGTAACCATCAAAGAATGCTTCTGTGTGAAAATCTTTTCTTGACTTTGTACAGTAGTGATTGTGGCAGTTACATAATCTTGTGTCAACTTGAGGGTATTAATAGTGAAGGGGTAGGGTCTAGCCTGTCAATTAGGTCATAGCCTGATGATACCTCCCAGTGGGCACAGCCTTCTCATGAGATTTCTCTGCCCCGTCGTCTTCCTGTTGAAAAGCCATGGGAAACTTGCTGAGACCTGCAAGAGCTCTCTTTGCTGCACCTTCCTGTTGACAAGCTGCTGGACCCACGCTGAGACCTGTGAGAGTCCTGGAGATGCTTCCAGCACCATTGGATCTGCAAGACTTTGCACCCACTGGCCTGTGATCTTTCTGCATTCTGCATCATTGCATGTGACTGCCTGAGTCTGAAGAGGAATTTATGGACTAGTATCAGACTTAAGGGCTATTATCAGACTTATGGACTTGATCTGGACTGGATGTTTTCTTTTTTTTTCTGGATGTTTTCTTAATATACAATTACTCTTTGATATCAAGCTCATTCTTACACATATAACAGTGTCAATTTGTTTCTCTAGTCAACCCAGCCTAACACAGTGACTTCATCTAAGATTTGTCCTTTAGTGATTGACTAATTTTACTCAGAATGATGTCCTCCAGGTCCATACATATTGTGAGGTATTTTACAGATTCATTGTTATTCTTTAACATTTTGTAGTATTCTATTGTGTGTGTCCCCTAGTTTATCCATTTATCCACTTAGTTTGTTTCCATCTTTTTGCTCTTGTGAGTAATGAATGTAAGATGAATGAGTATGCATGTATATCTTATTCATGTTACAACTCTTCATATTATAGGATATATACACCTACTGGTGATATTGTTAAGTCATAGAGTATTTCTATTTCCAACTTTTAAAGGAAGTGCCACACTATCTCCCCACAGTAGCTGTACTATTTTACAGTCCTACCAGCAGTGTATGAGGATTCTGTTGTCCCATACCATTGCCACTATTTGTTGATTTTTGTTTCTATTTTTTTAACTTTGGTATTAATCCTGGGGTGAAGTGAAATTTAACTGGTGTTTTGATTTGCTTTTCTCTAATGATCCCTAGGCATTCTTCATTTGATTTTTGACTGCTTTCATGTCTTTGTTAGAAAAGTACCTGTTCATTGTTTTGTTTTGTTTTAAATTTATTTTATTGGAGGCTCGTACAATTCTCATCACAATCCATGCATACATCCATTGTGTCAAGCACATATGCACATTTGTTGCCCGCCTCCCACTCTAGCCCCTAATATCAGCTGCTCATTTCTCCCCTCCCTTCCCCCTCCCCCTCCCTCATGAACCCTTCATAGATCATAAATTATTATAGTTTTGTCATAAGTTACCCTGTCCAATGTTTAATTCCTCCCGCTTCTCTGCTGTCCATCCCCCAGGGAGGAGGCAATACTTAAATTCTTGTCATTGGTTCCCCCTTTCTACCCGACATTCGCTTCACCCTCCAGGCATCACCCCTCTCACCACTGGTCCTGAAGGAGTCATCTCCACTGGATTCCCTGTGTTTCCAGTTGCTATCTGTACCAATGTACATCTTTCCATCCAGCCAGATTTGTAAGGTAGAATTGGGATCATGATAGTTGGGGGGAGGAAGCGTTAAAGAACTAGAGGAAAGTAATATGTTTCATTGTTGCTACCCTGCATCCTTATTGGCTCGTCTCCTCCCCACAACCCGAGTAAGGGGGTGTTCAGTTGCCCACCGATGGACTTTGAGTCTCCACTCTGCACTCACCCACCTTTACAATGATATGATTTTTTGTTCTTGGATGCTTGATACCTGATCTCTTCAACAGCTTGTGGTCACACATGCCGGTGTGCTTCTTCCATGTGGGCTTTGTTGCTTCTGAGCCAGTTGGCCGCTTGTTTATCTGCAAGCCTTTAAGACCCCAGACGCTATATCTTTTGATAGCCGGGCACCATCAGCTTTCTTCACCACCTTTGCTTATGCACACATTTGTCTTCAGTGGTTGTGTCAGTAAAGCGGGTACCCACTGATAAGATTTTTAGTTCTTTGATGTCTGATAATTGATCCCTTCTACACCTTGTGGTCAGACAGGCTGGTGTGCTACTTCCATGTGGGCTTTGATGCTTCTCAGCTAGATGGCCGCTTGTTTGCCCTTAAGACCCCAGACACTATATCTTTTGGTAGCCGGGCACCATCAGCTTTTTTCACCGCCTTTGCTTATGTTCACATTTTTCTTCAGCAATCGTGTTGCTGAGGTGTCAAAATTTTCTATAAATTTTAGAGATTAGTCTCTAAATTAGAGATTTGTCTGAAATGTTACCAAAAATGTTTTCCCAGTCTATAAGCCCTCTTTTTGTTCTTCGGTGAATATTCTTTAAACAAATATTTAATAAAGCATTTTATTGGGGGCTCTTACAGCTTTTATCACAATCCATATATACATCCATTGTGTCAAGCACATTTGTACATATGTTGCTGCCATCGTTATTCTCAAAACATATTCTTTCTACTTGAGTCCTTGGTATCAGCTCATTCCCTGAACCCCCTCCCTCATGTATTTCACCTACCACTGTCTCCCTTCACCCACTTTTCTGTTGTCCATCCCCCTGGGGGGGTGTTATATGTCAATCATTGTGATCGGTTCCCCTTTTCTGCTCCCCCACCTTCCCCTTCCCCTTCCCCTCCTGGTATCACTAATCTCATTATTTGTCCTGGTTTTTCTGCCCAGAATTCCCTGTGTTGCAAGCTCTTGTCTGTACCAGTGTACATGCTCTGATCTAGCCAGATTTGTAAAGTAGAACTGAGGTCATGACAGTGGGGAGGTTGGAGGGGGAAGCATTAAAGAACTAGAGGAAGGTTTTATGTTTCATTGGTGCTATACTGCACCCTGACTGGCTCATCTCTTCCTTTTGTCCCTTCTGTAAGGGGATGTCCAGTTGCCTGTAGATGGGCTTTGGGTCTCCATTCCACCCTCATTCACATTGATATAATTTTTTGTTATGGGTTTTTGATGCCTGATACCTGGTCCTATAAACACCTCATGATCACACAGGCTGGTGTGCATCTTCCATGTGGGCTTAGTTGCTTCTGAGTTAGATGGCTGCTTGTTTATCTTCAAGCCTTCAAGACCCCAGATGCTCTTATCTTTTGATGGCAGGGCACCATCAGCTTTCTTCACCACATTTGCTTATGCATCCATTTTGTTTTCAGTGATTGTGTCAGGGAAGGTCAGCATCCCAGAATGCTAGGTTATTAGAAAAAGTGTTCTTGTGTTGAGGGAGTACTTGAGTAGAGGTCCAATGTCTGTCTTTTGCCTTACTATTTAACAAATAAATAAATGTACATAGATGTTTCCCTATCATTATATATAAATGTATTTACATATGTACGTGTCTGTATTTAAACCTCTGTAAATGTCTTTTGCCTCCTACTTCTTTCCTCTATTTC